GATTCAGTTCCTTGTAGATCCAAGATGTTAAGCCTTTGTCAGACTTGGAGTTGGCAAATACTTTTTCCCAGTCTGTAGGCTGTCTCCCTGCTCTTTTGATGGTTTCTTTGGTTTTGCAGAAGCTTGTCAGTTTAATGAGGTCCCAAAAGGGAAATAAGAGAGCAGAAGTATGGGTGAACATGGGTGTGGTAAAGTAGCAAGCCAGTTCAAAATTTAAATTTTCTGTGATTATCCTTATTCTCCCATGTATGTGATCGAGAGCCTACTGTACTTTTGGGGAGGAAGGAATGTATGTGTATATTTTAGTGAAGAAAATTTACCCAGATGGTCTAAACACACTATAAGTCATAAAAATAAGAAACTTGTGTAGCCATCAGTTTTTTGGGTTTTTTTAATGCTGGTGGAATGAATGTAATAGATAGATCTTTTGGGTCTTGAAAAAGATTATGATTTAGAAGTATGTTTTCTTCTTTAGTTTCCTCACCAAGGAAACTTTAATGTGTATTACCAACTAATTTGGTATGTTTGCCTATCCCTTCCTCTAGCTGTAGTAATTCAGCTGCTACAACCGTAGCTTAGAGCCAATACATATGTTCCTACAAAGTCCCTAATTAGAATGTTAGAATCTTTCTTGTTTCTTTTTTCGAGTTATGGATTATAAACTGAATAATATTATTTGGAAGCCAGGACCAAATTGTGAAGTTTCTTGTATAGAAAAGGTCTTCAGGCTTTTCTGAGTCGTCTTCTTATTATTAAATAAATACACACACACACACACGCCAATATATTTTTAACATACGTGTGTATATAGTTTCTCATAATATTTCATAAATTTAATGTTGAAAATAAAAATTTTATGCAAAAATTTGTTCATTTTTATTCTAAGTCATATTCTATGAGTTTGGAGGCATATATTATTAAAATACGTCTTTTTTAAAACCGAAAGTCACTTAATGATTTTTTTTTAATTAAGAATCATAATGGAGCATACCCCAGAAATTCACATAGAAACTTTGTTAGGAAAGTGAACACACACACCATTGTTTGGTGCGATGGTATTGGTTATTTCTATAACAGGGAATAGGAAATGTTTCACATGGTTTAGCTTCATCTACAGTCCTATTTTTGGTAATGTAGATACTTGGAATCTGAGAGTTGTCCAAAAAATAAGTGGAATAGCTCTTTATAGAATTCTAAAATTCCTCAGGTATGAGATAATTGGAGACATTTTCTAAATAATTATGTTCAAGCCTAGGAATGATATGAAACACAGTGCTATGAAATTTATACACATTTTCACCATTTCAGTTTTGAGTAACCTAAGCTAAGAACATAATAACTAAGAACATAAACTAATTATGATGTCATTAATTTTTTCAGTAGGTCAGGAATTAAGTTCTATATTATGGCTTCATTATAATTTATCATTTGACTTTAAACTTGATGAAAAATAGTCGTAGTTGCTTTCTAAATCTTCAACCCTCTACACCCATGAATGAAGTTCCTCAAAACACATTTAAACTGAATTGATATCCATTAAGCTATCCCCAGGGATAAGCAGGAAACCCAACTCCCGATTCATGCTGTGAAGCATTTTGGAGCCTATTGGACATTGCTAGGCTTAATACAACTATTAGGACTTCAGAGAATTCACTCTTGTATAGTCCATTCTTGATAGCTTGTTACAATATTTTTGATGACCTGGTTTTTCACAGTTGATCTCCTGTCACTTTGAGATTGTTTATTTTTAAGGCTTTTATAAGTCTTGGAAGACACGGACAACAAGTGATCCTCCCACCTCAGCCTCCCAAAGTGCTGGGATTGCAGGCATGAGCCACCACACCTGGCCATCTACTTTATGCTTTTATTTAATATGTGTACTATTGTTGTATGATGATAAAAATAGTAGTTTGTATCTGAATCCCTCTTATCCCAGAGAAAGGCACATAAGCATCTAATAGCTGTTACAAAATATATCAAAAGGATGGAAATCATTGTTGTACTAATTTCTCTAAGCAATTTTTAACATGAATTGTTTTCTTAAATTTTATCTAATCTGTACAGGCTTCGGAGTATCAGTTTAATAGTGGTATATCTTCTCAGTCTTCTACATTTTCCAATACTATTTCTGTGCAGGGCTTGATACAATGTAGGTTGGATCTGAATAGCCATGTATTGGACTGTATATACCATATTGCTTTATAATAAGTAGGAAAATAAGGATTTAATTCAAATTGTTTTTATTCATTGGGAAAACTATTTGGAAATTCTACTTAACTGCCAAGTGTTGTATATTTCTGTCATGATCATATGAAACAGATATTTGTGAATTTTAACACGTGAGAATAAATTGCATATATATTTAATTTAATATATATGTTAACATTGAGTTTTATAGTTTGGATGTGTGTGTATGTGTGTGTGTGTGCATACATGCACATAAAAAATAAAAGTGCTTTGTAAATGGTAAAACATTATGCAAATGTTCTAGGGTGACATTTTCATAGCTCTTAAAGTTGCACTAATTTCCACATGCCCACATAGCTTTTCATATCACAAATATCTGTATATGTGGGCTTATTTTTTAGTTCTGACATTTTACAATTTGTCCTTTGTTTACATGCAGCAAGGAGTTATGGGCGAAGACGAGGTAATTCATTTCTGTTTGTTATGGTATAACTTTCTAATTGATTTTTACTGATCAATGCTGTAATTAATTATTTCAGATTTTTCACGCGATGTGTGAAAACTCACAGAATTGTGTTTTGATTTGAACACTTGTCAAAGTTTTGAATTCTAAATCTCTTAACCTTTGAAGCATATATTCATACTAATTATGCTGTTTAATCAACTTTCTCCTTTTAAAAACTGTCTAGATTTTTAACTACTTTTTAAAAAGATACTTTTAAGCCAGGCTCGGTGGCTCAGCCTGTAATCCCGCACCTTTGGGAGGCTGAGGTGAGTGGATTGCTTGAGCCTGCGGGTTCAAGACCTGCCTGGGCAACGAGACCTCATCTCTACAATAAATCAAAAAATCAGCCGGGCGTGGTAGCGTATGCCTGTAATTCCGGCTACTCGGAAGGCTGAGGCGGAAGGATCGCCGGAGCCCAGCAGGCAAGGCTGTGGTGGCCGGTAGCGGCCACTACACTCCAGTCCGGGCGACAGAGTGAGACTCCAACTTAAAAAAAATAAAATAAAAAGATACTTTTATATCTTTTAAGATATAGCTGCTGTTTAGAGTTTGTCTGCTTAAGAAATGTGAAGGTGACATCCAGTATGATTTTTCTACTCTAAATATATGACTGATTGTCTTATCTATGGTATTTAATTTACATCTCTAGATTCTTAGTTCTGTGTTTGACCCAGTTGAAAATAGCGCATGTACCAAATAATTATTAACAATGATTTGTAAAAATCATGTGGCTAAGATTTCTCTTTCTTCTAAGAATATAATCCCTTCTCTCTCTTTCTCTCTCTCTGTCTCCCTCCCTCCCTCCCTCCCCGCCTCCGTCCCCTCCCTCCCCTTCCTCCTTTTCCTTTTCCTGTCCCTTCCTCACCATGGTATTCTCTTCAGGGTTCTTGTGTGGTATCCTAAGGAAAGACCTAGGACTGTTTGATGCCAGGACTATTATTGAACTCTCTAGGAAAAGCAACTGATGTTTACCATGGCTAAAACTCCTCTCCCTTTTCCATGTGCAGAAAAGTAGATGGGATTAGGGGAAACAAAAGTAGCTTTACACTACTAGATTCTCCTCTAAGTGAACAATAATCACAATATTTATGTAGCTCTGCATATTGCAAGTGCCACACTCAGTGGAAAGGATTTTCGTTGACCTCTAAAAATCTTTTAGCCATAGAAGATAGACAGTAATAATAGTGCCCTTTGATAAATTTTATATATACAAGTCAGTACTTCACTTTCTTTTCAGCTAGTCATGAGTGTGTGTACTTTCAAAACAAACAAGCGAAACCATTTGCCAACACTGCCAACCAAAACTAGTATTTTATATTTTTAAGTGGCATGTCCAGTTTTATACTTCAGATCTTCTGAATTTAACTTCATGTTTAGAATATGGTTTTTTCAAATGTTTTACTGAATCTTTCAGTTCTTCATTCTCTAACCAAAAGATTAGAGGAGATAGAAGCTCAAGATTTAGGAAACTAAAGATGAATAACCTTTCTAAAGACTACTTATTAGCAAACTAAGGAGAAAGAGGAACAATTTGAATTTTAGTACCTATTTTCAGACCTATAGACTATGCTATTCTAATAATGGCTCTTTAGTTATCTTGAAAACAACTCACCAATCTGATTTTTTAGGCACTTTTGAACCTGTGGAGCAATTCAGGATTCTATTTTTGTTATATACATTTCATCTTTTAACTGTTGTGGTTTATGTTTAGTCTAATTTAGTATAGTCCCATGTAAATATCATGATCTTGGAAGTTCTTAGGAATAAAATAGGAAGAAGTCGTGTTATTGTTTATCTTCATCTCAGTTCAATAATTGTAGGTTATGATTATGATAATAAGAAAAAGCAAAAATATCTTTTCATACTTTTAGATAGGAACTTACTATCATTCCTATATATCTCCATTCCCTGGAAAATATAAAGAATTCTTCTGTTTCTGAACTTCCTCCCAGCATTGGAAAGAGGAAGAGTCTCATGGTTTTAAGACTCTATTAGTTCACAGCTGACATTCGTCATACTTATTTCACTGAGTATGGGTGGGAGTATGAATGCTTAAATTTTTATCTCAGATTATATGGCATTAGCAACTTTTTAGTCAGTCATCTGTGAAGAGCAGGAGTCTGCTTTTAAAATTTTGATTGTGATACTCCCTTCAAAGTTATTCTAGAAATGGCTACTGAATGATTTTATTTGATTTTGAAAGGTCTCTGACATGATAAGTGATAAAAGTATTTTTTTAAAGAAATCTGCATTCCAAAGTAACGACTCAGAAGTAACTAAAAATTGTCACCTGACTCTCTTCCCATTTTTAACTCATCTTTTCCCATCCTATAATAGATATAATATCAATCTCAAACTGGTACTCTTTAAACCACCAAAGACCTTCTTTTATGAACTTCATGTTTTAGATTTGATCCATCAAAGGAACTGCGTTTAATCATTTAAAAGCAACTTGTATGTCATACCTTCTAGTCATGTGGGATGGATCATACAGAGTTGATAGGATTTTTGCCAAAAATAAGTCATAGTTCTTTTACCAGTGCAGTGATAGGTGAATAGTATTATTTTCACAAGGCATTCTGACTTTCACTTTTGTTGTCTAGTTTGGTAAGAACTATTTTTTTCTTACTTGCTGTCTTTAACTCACCTTTCAGCCCAGACACAGAGAAACTTTTCATTTAAAGGATATCCCACTTGACTACAGTCAAACCAAATTACTACCAAAATGACTTTATATACAGGGTACCAAAAATATACATATACATTTTAAGCAATGTTATTCATGTATTACTTTTCAAACTTGAGTGAAATTATGGTAGCAATGTGTAGTGTGATATTTGCTCAACTGTATTTCTGCCACTTTCTTTGTCCTGCCTGTCGCATGGTTCACTAGCATTCATTTGATTAATGCCATCTTTTGAACAAATGTCACATATACTTAAAATGTTGTATACATTTTTTGGCACCCCCTGTATTTGAGTTTCTTAATAATGTCAATAACAACTTTAAATCAAACAAGCTGTAGATATTAATGTATGAAATATACCTTGGGAATAATCAAAATGTATTTGTATTGCTAGTAATTAAGAAAAAGCAGGCCGGACACCATGGCTCATGCCTGTAATCCCAGCACTTAGTGAGACCAAGGTGAGAGGATTGCATGAGCCCAAGAGTTCAAGAAAAGCCTTAGCAAAACCTCATCTCTCTCAAAAAAAATTTTTTTTTTTAAATAAGCAATGTGATTGTGTGCGCCTGTAGACCCAGCCACTTGGGACGTTGATTGCCAGAGCCCAGAAGTTCGCATCTGTGGTGAGCCATGATCCTATACTTCACTCCTGCTGGGGCAGCACATTGAGATCCCAACTAAAGAAAAAAAGAAAAAGAGAGTGAGAGAGAGATCGCTTTTCCTGCTTTTCAGTTGGAACTTACTTTCTACTGCTGTGCATGTCTGTCTCCAGGGAGCCATAAAGAGTTCTTCTTCAGAGTTGCCTGGGGAAGCAGCGTTTAGAAGGATGAAGGTTCACATGGGGAGCTAATTTTAATTCATGTAAAATCACCTATCTTATGTATTTATGTTTTGTTCATTGTTTCTTTCATTGCATTCTAAGAGTGAATATGTTGGTCTGAGAATAAACATTTTGAGAGTAGACGTTGTGAAGGTAGCTGTAAAGTATAAACTTTCTCCTTTCAACTTTTAAACTATCTCAATAGCATGATCTGCTCCTTTGTTAAAGGATTAAAGGGCTCCTGTGCTACAGAAAGCATAAAAATATGTAGAATATTTTGAGTAATAGACATGAAAAACCCTCTCTTAGTTCATTGTACTAAGCCCCAGGGAGCAATCTTTTGGAGCAGGTTAGCCTCCACTTTGAGTTAGTAGATTACTTGTAGAATGGAAAAACAGGAGAAATAATTTTAAAGAGAGGCAAATAATGGAAGTTTAATTAGGTTTTATTTACTCATACTGTATAGCCACTCAGACTCACATACTATAATAAATAAGGAATTACTAATAATATAAGATATGATATACTGTTTTAAATTTGACCCAGGATTTTTTTTATTTGGAACAACCTTGTGATGTACCCAAAGCGTACATTCCCTAATATCATCACTACTGAATTTTTATGATTAAGTCAAGGCTGAAGTCCTCATTTTTCAAAAACAATTTTAGTAACTGTCAGAATAGGTAAGATCTCTAAAATATATAAATGCCAGGATAATACTCCAGTACACAGTGGTCAGCAAATTGTGGCCCACAGTCCAAGCCTCGTGTTTTCATAAAGTTGTAGTGGAATGCAGCCAGTATTTACCCATTTATCTCCTTTCTGTCTGACTGCTTTGGAACCACAGTGGTGGCACAGTTGAGTAGTTGCAACAGAGAATACATGCCCTGCAAAACCTAGAATATTTATATATGGCTGTTTACAGATAAAATTTGCGAACACCCCTCCCTTCCCTATCTTTTAAGAGACTGACTGTACCCTATATCCAGTCATATCATTGTTATAGAAAACAAATTTTAAAGAACTTAATTTTAAGACAAATATAATTATATCTATAAATTAAGCAAAATTTACAAAGACATATAGGGTGCTAGGTTATAATTTTTTAAGTTAAATATCTTTTATGAGAAAGGGAAAAACCTGTTATTGGGGAAAAATATGCTTAAGCCATTAGCATACCTTATAATGCCTTTCTCAGTTCTTTGCAGAAGCATACCTGATCAGTGAATCTATCTCACTAAACCAGTGATGCTCAGTTCCAAACCTACTTCTGTTGTTTTGATAGTTTTTTGAATCCTTGTGTACTAAGTAAAAATCTTGCCATCCCACTGGTAGGTTATCTAGCCAATAACCTAAAATGACTGCAGACACTGGAAGATAGAAAGAATATTCATAGTAATTATTAATTTATATAGTTTGTGTTTTATTTTCAGAACAACGTTCAGTAAATTA